TATGTGACTTATAAAATTTTTGATTTGTGACCAAGAAATAAGTTGTGACTAAAAATTAATCTATGACTAATTAATTTTTTGATTTATGATTGATTAACAAACTGTGACCTACAAGAATTGTGATCGTAAGATAATTTAAAACATAAAATTTATGATTTATGATCAAAAAATAATAAATGAGTAATTAAATTATTAATTTGTAACCAAATTGTATAGATATGTGATCTAAATATATTTAATCAATAAAATAATTAATTAATTAGATCATAAATAAATTTTAATAAAAATCTAATTTTTGAAGTTTGAATCTTGCTTTCTTGATTTTGAAATGTTGAAACTTAAACTCTTACTTATGAAATTTTCCCTTAAAATTTTGAAAATCCATGGATTTGAACCTTGACCATTGTAGTAGAGTAGTTTAACATTTTTTATGTGCAACAAGAATCATATATATTATATAGGTTTTCTAAAAGTGATTTTTATTAAAAAAAAACTTTAGTTCAACCGTTTACTTCATTTTGTAGACCTAAATAATTAGTGAAAAATAACTTTAAAAAATATATATAATTTTGCCTAAAAAATTTTATACTTTTAATTTTTTTATAGATTTTTATGCAGTGACCCACCAGTTCAACCGGTAACCTGAGATCCGGTACCTTGTCCGGGTCGAGTCTAGTAACCACGTTTACGACACTTATAAAAATTTTTAGATTTATATGTGGTGCACGTTCAACTCTAACTAGTAAAGACAATACAAAATAGACAGCTCTCCACACACTTTCGGCCTTATAATTAACCTATTTCTGAAAAAAATCATCTGCGATCATTGGACTTTCAGTGAAACCTTAATTAAGTCATTAAACCTCTAATTATTTCCGTTGAGGTATTATTCTTCAATTAATTTTAATTTTAATTTCACCCTATGTTACATTATATCATCAATTGTCCACCAAATTGACGAAAATTGTTTAGTTGTTAACATGATTTTCAAGTAATCTCTATGTTCCACCATATAACAATGATTAGTTGCTATCACGTGCGTTACGCAAATTTTGTATTTATCGTATTTTTATTAGTGTATGAATTTTAGTTTTTGAAGTAATATCTAAAAATATTTCCATAATTTGAGAAAATAATTGTAAATTATTTTTACAATTGCATAACAGTATATTATCTAGAAAAAATATACTTGTATATTTCATGCTTGAATAAGAAATATATAAACTATTTTGCTTGTATTCTTTGATAGTATTGATATGATTAAATTAAATCTGAATATTATATTTCTAAATTTTGTTTAATTCAATATTGTAAAATTGGGAAAAAAAAACCTCTACACAGTGCGGAGAGAGTTTAACCAAGTGCGGAATAAAAATAAAAAATAAAAAAAGGTGTGGAGAGAAAAATATCTCTCCGCACAGTGTGAAGAGAGTTGAACCATGTGCGGAGAGTTGACAAACTCCTTGCACAGTACGGAGTAAAAAATAAATAAATCTTTCCGCACAGTGCGAAAAAATGACAAACCAACTCTCCGCACGGTACAGAGAGTAAAAAAAAAACTCTTCGCACTGTGCGGAGATTTGGTCGGCATCATGGCAAAACTCTTCGCACAGTGCGGAGAGAAAAAAACTTTTTGCACAGTGCGTAAAGAGTTGAACCATGTGCGGAGTAACAAAAAAGTGCAGAGAGAAAAAATTCTCTTCGTACAGTGTGGAGAGAGTTGAACCATATGTTGAGAGTTGGCAAACTTTTCGTACAGTACGGAGTAAAAAAAACTCTACACACAGTGCGGAGAGATGACAAACCAGTTCTCCGCACAGTACAGAGAGAAAAAACTCTCCGCACAGTGCGAAGAGTTGTTTTCAAATTCCTTAATTACAAATTAAATTTCAAGATTGTAAATTTTTCGTATATATAACGAAACAGAGTTGAAAAACATGGCTCAAAATCAACTATGTCTTCTTTAAATTCCAGTCACTGCTTAATTTATGCAAATCATATTTATGGTATTGGAAATGAGCTTTCTTGTGATTCGTACAATTAAAAAATATGTGAGTTGTGCAAAGAAGAGGATATTGATAGTAACATGGCATTGCTTTCACAAATGGAGGCTCTACGGTACCACCCAAATTCAATATTTTACATTTGCTTGATAACAACTCTTGAATGTTAGAAGCGGATACAATTTTCAATTAAATTATATTTTTGGGTTGTAGGCCATAAATTAAAGTGTTAAATGTATTGCTCAAAAATTATTTGAGAAAATGCATCTTGGAACTTGCAAATAAAGTCCCGAGAGTTTTTGTTTTTTTCTTCACACTGTGCGGAGATATAGTTTGTCATCTCTCCGCACTTTGCAAAGTCTTTTTTTGTTCATGTGCAGAGATTTTTTTTGTCTTATGGAGTTTATATATATTAAAATTATTTTCTAATATTGTTGGTATGATGCATGTGTGAAAGAATATTTGTTAATCACCATAAATAAAATTTTATTACGCTAATAAAATTACAATAATTTTTTTTTACAAATAACATAAAAAAAATTATTTTTATCTTCAACAAAAAAATACATTTAAAAATTAATAATTTCATAACCACGTTTTTTTTAATTCTCGAAAATACAATATAAAAAAGGAAACAATATTGAATTACAACATTAAATACTTAAGAAATTCAATATTAAATAAATTTTATACATTTATAACAAATTATAAATCCATATATGCAGCTTACCGTATTTGCAAACAACTTACCGTATTTTCACCTTATCGTATTTACAGCTTAGCGTATTTGCAACTTACCGTATTTGCAACTTATTGTATTTTTATATACCGATTTTGCACTTACAAATATCAAGAATGCAGAGTACCGTACATTCACTTATCAAACCGAATTTCAAAAAATTTTCATATTTTTATTTTTTCAACATAAGTATAAAATAAATATTAAATATATATGAAGCACAAAATATAAATACATATGAATATGGTGCTCAATCTTCAATTTTCCAATATTGAATTACAAAAAATTTGGAAATATAATATTCATATTCAACTCAATCATATCAATACTGTCAAAGAATAAAAACAAAATAATATGTATAATCTCGTATATTTCTTATTCAAGTGTGAAATATATAAGTATGTTTTTTCTCAATGACACAATACTGTTATGCAATTGTAAAAATAATTTGCAATTATTTTCCTATATCATGGAATATTACTAGATATAGCTCGAAAAACTTTCCAAAAAATTAAAATGCATACACTAATAAAAATTCGATAAATGCAAAATTCGTGCAATGCGCGTGACAGTCACTATGCAGAATTTTTTTTTTAAACTTCGCACTGTACGGAGAGTTTGCCAACTCTCCGTACCGTGCGAATTTTTGTTTTTTTTACTCCACACTGTACGGAGAGTCCACACTTTGTGAGGACAGTTTTCGTACAGAATGCAATTTCTCCGCACTGTGCGTAAAGTTTTGCCATGGTGTTTGCCATCTCTCTGCACTGTGAAGAGATTTTTTGTTTTATTTTGCACTGTACGGAGAGAGTGCTAACTCTCCGCACTAAGTGGAGAGTTATTTTCTTCTTTTTTTTACTCCGCACATTGTTTGCTATCTCTCTGCACTGTGTAGAGAGTTTATTTTTATTTTTTTTTAAAGTTCATGTGTGAAGAGACTTTTTTTTTTTGCTCATGGAAGTTTATATTTACTAAAATTATTATTATTTTTTTAATGGTAGTGACATGATGTGTGGAAGAATATTTATTTGACATAATTATTTTTTTAATGTTAGTGGGATGATGTGTAGAAGAACATTTATTTGATATAAACGAAATGGAAAATAAAAAATAACATAATGCATAGTAAAATTAGATTCATTTACTATTGTATGAATGGTAGATCCTCATTCCCTTTTTTATTAAAAGTTAGATAAAATGAAAGTACTTGCTCATAAATTTTAAAGCTTGACTCGCCTATTAGTGGAGCAAGCTGAACAAACTCGTTGCCCTCACGGCACATCTCCAAGTGGTAAAAGGGGAGGGTGGAGAAATCCAGCTTTGCTTGAGGTTACTGCGTCAAGGGTTCGAATCCTGAAATATGGATTTGACTCTTGGGTAAGTGCAAGTGTACAAGCAGCCTTTCACCCTATACCCTTGGAGGCATAATCTGCGATTTACCTCCCTCACGATACTCCAAGGCAGGGGCGGTGGAGGACCCTTAAGGTTGAGGTTCAACCTTTAAGCTGAACAAACTCGTCAGCTGCTCTCCCCATAAAAAAAATGAAATAAAATAAAAAATAAACATTTTATTTTTACATTTTGAAATAAAAAAAATAAAATAAAATTTGAATTTCACATTCAAGCATTTGGTTGAACTTGATTTGATTGCACTTGCTCTCTACACGTGCCATCAAATTGGCTGCAAAAGCAGCCATCTAGGCTAGCCGCTAACGGACTTGCAAGAGCCCCCAAGATCCCGCCTAGCAAGCCAGCAAATGGCTTGAGCCTATTGCAATCACTTAACGAAACTTATAATGCCTTTCAGATTTGGGAGATGACACATGATAGAGTGGTGAAATTTGAGACAAAAGTGAAATTCAATGACCCAATTGAAACTAAATTAAAGTTAGTGATCCAATAGAGATAAATTAAAATTTAGTCACCCAACTTAAATGTTGCTAAAAGTTCAGTTCCTCAAATGACACATCCCAGCGTAGGACCAAAACTCCAATATTTAGTTTATGTTTGAGCCCATTTTTGGTAAAAATAAATTTACAATAGTGATTTTTGAAGAATATGTGGTTAAAAATAAGAAAAAGATTTACATTTACATCTAAAATTATATGACTTGTAAATGAATTTGAGGAAAAATGAATTTTTTGAAATAATAGGTTCAATTACGTCGTTAACGATCTTCTTCAACACAAAATGAGAGTAGAAGGATTAAACTTTCTGCACAAGGTAAGAAACACCTAGCAGGATTTAGCAAGGCAAGCAGAGCAGAAGGGTTAACTACATAAAATAAACAATCGGATCAATACAAACTTGTTCAAAACATAGAAAAAAACCAACATCATGTAGCATTGTCAAAATAGAAGTCATAACAAAATGCCCCAAATTGCTCCATAAACGTCAAGCCTTCACGCAGCAGTTGAAGTAGCTGAAGAAGCTCCTTCTCGACTGTCGGAGAATTAACATAAAATATAATTAGAACGATCGCCAATTAACGATTTACGAAGAGAGCAAAAGAAGCTGACATATTAGCTAGACATGCATCTTGGAAAAAATGTACGAATAAATCAGTTTCTTGAAAATTCAGGGTTACCCACTAAAGGGACTGCCGAATATAAAGCCAACATAAGTTGCAATTTTCATCTATTTTAGATGGCTCACAACAGTCATTGCATGTGCACCACCTGTATTTACTTTAATGTGGTCCGGTTGAAATAGGATTTTGGAGACTTAAAGACTTTCCTCGTTATTTCTGCAACAAGTTGCTCCCTTATCTGGTGGAATAATGCTATTTATAGTGAAGATTATCGATAGTCGACATACATGACATGTTATTTGATGCGTAAGACAATAAAAACTATGTATTAAATAACAACCTGACATATGTATACCACGTAATGTGACCGTCGATAGTTTTCACTACGAATAGCGTTACTATCTTTTGTTATGGCAATTTACTGTGGACCACATTCAATATCACCAGCTTATCTTATTAAGAGATCTGCCAAAGTCATTTATGAACCAAATAGACGACACGTTTCCTTCTCAGTCTATCCCTGAAGAGTACGTTATTCACACATATGATTGATTGACACGGTGAGAAAACACAGGGTCATAAATTTAGCCTAGTTAGCACTTCTTAGTGCATGATGTAGTCAGGCAAAATCATTTCCATTCTATATAAGAAACAAGAGAGCCCGTTGTGAAAGTTGCTGTACTGGTTTGTCGATTTATCCCAGTCCAAACTACCAGTGTCCACAAAAGTTACATATTTCAATACTGGAGTAGATGCTTACTGCGTAGCAATTATCTGAACTGAACTTAACATAAACATGAAGACGAGGTATAACCTATAGGAAGAAATTATTTTAAAGATGGTAGAGCAAGCGTACAGTTGGAGAGTGATTTTGATGGTAGTCGTGGTGGTGGTCATTTTTGTTTGTGTCTGAAACTCTAGCGGTCGATGAGATGAGCTCCTCCTCATTTCCAAGACTGGCTCTCGATGGATCCCTCTTGTTTTGCTTCCTCATTTCTCTGATTTTTGAGAAGTCCATGGAGTAGTCTGGCACTGCTCCCTTCTGGTCCCAGTCACCAAATTGTGGCACGGATAGCCTTGGTGCATTCTTCTAAATGACAAGGAAAAAGGTAGAAAGAATTAGCCATTTGTTTCAATTTTTGAGCAAGTCATCACATATACAGCAAACAATGTCGTGTTTAATAGTCAATCTTAATATTAAATTGAAGTGATTATCGTTTAATTGACTTTTCCGAAAGCTTATATTTCTGAATTTTTCAAACCAACCCAATCCTCTTCAGAAAGAAAGAATGGTGAAGCATCCATTTCTTTCACGCATTTTCAACATAGAGAAACCAAAAATGATAATAGCTTCTTCAACTCCTCCTTCCCTCCCTTATTAAGATAACGAGTCAAAGTACAGAATTTTTGACTGAATCACATAAACCTTTTCGTTTTCGGATTTCTTCAAGCAAATTTAGATTGCAAATAGAAATCTATATCCCAAGAATTTCAATCGAATTTCATTTAATCAGTGCCACACAAGAGGTGAAAGCAACAAATATGCAATTGTAAATCAAAGTAGAACTCAAGAAAATGATACGCCTAAACCATTCGTTTCTTGGAAACTGATAGACAAAGTAGAAATTGTGCCCGGAAGAGGGAATTCTGAACGACAGAAAGAGAGGTGTTTACCTCCTTGCGATCTTCCATTTGATATACAAAATCCTCAATTTCTTGAAAATAAGACCGTTTCGTAATAAATATATTATGGTATTTCTTGAAAAGCAAATTTGTGCGAGTAAAATTGAAATTTGAAGGAGGTAATTATAGCTGTTTTGCTGTGCCGTTGGTACGTTACACGTGTCACATAGAATCGGACATATAGAGAAGCAGCTTTCACACGTATAGGACTCGTATTATTGTACTATTAACTTGATGAAAAAAAATACAAAAATAAAAGTTTGAACTCCAACCTTGAGGGCCCCTATCGTCCCGCCCCTAGAGTTTTGTGAGGGAGATAAATCGCGGGATGTACCTCAGCAGGCCAGAGAACAAGAGTTGTTTGTACACTGCGCCTAAAATGAGTCAAATTTCATGTCTCAAGAATTGAATCTCCACATTGCGATTGCCTGTAAGGCGTGATGAATATTTATGAAATATGGCTAATACTTGCGTCCAAATACACAATTGCCACTGCTATTTCACACGATTTTCCAATACCTTCTTAAAATCTTAACGGTAACTGAATTCTATGGTGCTATATTTCAATTGCAATAAAAAAGTTTAATTTTTGTTTATTACAATAGTTGTATTTCAGCTTTTTTTTTTTTTTTTTTGGGTATTTTCGTTGTCAAATTTTTATTAATGAACACTTATTCTGCTTTATGATACATTTTTTTTTATTAAATATTCTATTAGCATAATTTGAGATGAGCAAATATTTTGTCAAAGTTGTGTGTTTGTTGTTTTCTTATTTATTTAAAAATATGAGCGAAAATAAGGGTCCGATTGATTTGCTTTTCAATTTTAAGTTTTAAGTTCATTTTCTATTTTCTATTTTTAAACTATGTTCTAAAACAACTAAAAACGTATATGATTTATTATTTTGAAAAATTGTTTATTATAACAGAAAATTAAAAGATATGTTTGATTTGAAATTTTGAAAAATTATTTTGTGATATTTTATTTCATTTAATTTGATTATTTAGTAAATCAGAAAATTTTTAAGATTATCAAGCAATATATATATTTTTAAAGGGACAATTAGCACAAAACATCTTTGCTTTTCAATGTTATTATGCAAAATATTTATATACGACGAATTTCATGTATTAAAATACAGAAATCGTTACAAATTGTATTTTGATAAAATACAAGTGATGTTGACCTTCTTGTAATTACAAGATTGTAAAAATCCTCTGATTAATAATATGAATATTTGAAGACGAGGGGCTACATGGCTTGAATCCTGATCATCGAGAATTTATTGAAAATTTGATTTGTTGAGACTTGACTTATTCGGTACTTGAACTTGAATTTGATTTCATTTGAAAAAGATTTTGATCTTCTTGGATTTGGCGTTAATCAATTTGATTTGAAGAAGATTTTGATCTTTTTTGTGTTCAGTAAGTTTAGGCTTGAGAGGATTTCTTATCTTCCTCTGGCCAGAGAATTTCTTCAGCACTTCGTGGTTATCTTATTTGCTTTCGCTTTTTCTTGCTTTTCATCCTTCTCTTTCTTATGGACCATTGGTCCTATTTGTAGGAGGAAATTTGTACTAATTTTGATAATCACTCAATTATATTTAATTACAAATGAATAATTGAGTAATTATGATTTTTTATTTATTTGTTTATTTATTTAAAAAGTAAAATGAGCCTTTGTGAACTTTAGTAGACTTTAATTTAATTGGGCTAATGATTTAAATTAACCTAATCCATTTTCTTTATTTTTTTTACTTTTTTATTTTTATATCTACAAATTCCCCCTCAAGATTTATTTATTTATTATGAAATAAATTAATTAATAAATCTAGATTTTCGAATTTCTTGATTTTTTAATTTTCTTATTTTTAATTTAGGATTTGATTTGAACTCAAACTTTCCGTTAGTAAATTAATACAGATGGAACATTTGAAAATAAAAATGTGAATTTGATAAAATTCTTATTCTTCAAATTTGATAATAAGAATCTTATTTGTCGAATTTTGATTATTTATTTATTTATTTTATAAATTCATAACAAATTTGATTTGAACAGACTTTTTATGTTTTAAGGTAAATTGGGCTTAAGTGAAGTCCAATATTTACCTATTTATATGCAAGAATTATGAAGTTTGAAAAAAAGTTTGTTAAATTTTGCGAATAAAGGTAAAGATTTTTTTTTAATATTTTTTTTCTTTGGAAACCAAAAAATTAAAATTGGTTTCCGCGGCCCAAAGCAAACGTGTTTGGTTTCTGCCAATGGCAGGACCCCAAACAAATTTGCTTTGGTTTCTGCCAGTTAGCAGAAAGCAGAAACCATTGGCAGAATCCGAAACCTTAGGTTTACCCTTTTTTATTTTCTATTTTCTTTTTCTATTTCTTTTTTTTTTTCTTTATATGGTTTCCGCTGCAGTAGCGATAACCAACAAACCAATTCACTAAGAGTGTATTTGATTGATATGGAAAATATCACCTAGAAAAGAAAATATTTTCCATCTTTTGTGAAAAATAAAAATTACCTCTACCCAAGAAAAATGTTTTTCTTAAAAACAAGGAAAATTAGGCATATTTTCAAAAGTTGAAAAATATTTTTCATGGAAAAAAATAGCAATCAAACACTTCAAGTAGAAATTTGGGTGAAAAATTGATATTTTTTATGGAAAATAGATGTAATCAAACACACTCTAATTGATTTCTGCACTGCCATGTGCAGAAACCAATTGTGGTTCCTCGGTTTCTCCTATAACTTTTTAGCAGAAACCGTTTTCATTTCATTTTTATTTATTTATTTTCGTTTTTTTCTTTTTTTTTTTTTTCTTTTTTTTGTTTCTAGTTCTTTTTTCTTTTGAATTGTCTTTTTATTTCGATCACTTCTTTTGTTGATTATTTTTATTGTTATTATTATTATTTTTTATTTTTGTATTTTTATTTTAATAAAGTTGAAACTAACATTTCTCATTTTTTTTATGCACGGAATCAATTTTTTTTTTTTTTTTGAGCAAATCAATAATTTTGAGGTTCGATATTTTCTTTATGTAGAGGTTAAATTTTTGTACCACAATTATTTTATGCGTTGAAAATTACAAACTTTTTTGCACACCTTGAGGACCAAAGGCTGTTAACCCTATTGAGCCCCTGTTTGAGTCACTTTAATCTAAGAATGAGAATGAAAAAATATAGCCGTTATAGGCTTCATATAAGAGATAGAAAATCAAATATGGTGACTTGATGTGATGGATAACGATCATATTTTTTTATTTTAATGAGCAAATAATGAGAAACAAATATGGGCTTAGCCTAGAAATTGTGCTGTTAACCTATTGAGCCCCTATTTGGCCCCCATTTTCTTCCAATTTTTCTCTCTTATTTTCAACCACACAATTTTTCATAAAATAATATTACACGTAAATCGAAAACTTTTCATTCTTTTTAATCACACATTTTTTAACAAAACACTATTCAAAACATTAAAATTTGAAAAAAACGAAAGCCAAACAGGGGCTAAAGCTTTTGAGCTCATTGGTCAAACTCTTGGGTAGTGCTATATGTACCAGGGCGTTGACACGCCTCTCACAACAAGGGGGCCGTGCATTTTTTATTCGGCGTAGGCTTCCCTTCTTGTGAGGGGCCTATAATTGAGCGTGTCGACGCCTTGAATACAAATAGCAAAATTCCAAACTCTTTAATTCTTTTCTTTTCAGCCCATGGTTGCCTTTTCGTTTACCTATATCACTTTAGTTCCTTTATTTATTTATTTTAATGTTTTTGCTCAGCCCTCCCTAAGTACCCATTTGACAGAATTTTTAAAAAATCAAAAGTTATTTTTAAAACTATGATGTTAACTTTGTACATATTAGAATAATTTTCAAAGTTTTTTGTGTGGTTCAAAAAACTTTTAAAGAAAACTAATCTAAAATAATTTTTTTTAGGAAATTAAAGTAGAAGCAAAAGCTTCTAAGCCTTCCATACGAGTCCTTACCAGTGACAAGTAAAATACTTTTAGATGCGTTGCCACAATTTTAATATCCACTTAACCTTAGAACTGAAGCAAGACGAAAACAAACACGACTAGGAATATATTTACTCAGTTTTGAAATTACCGGGGAATAATATTTGGAATAAACTAACCAATTTATGCTTAGGGCCTGTTTGGTAGAGATTTTGAGAATTGATTTTTTAACCGTTAGAAGAAAAGTGGGGTCCACATGTGAGAGAAGAAATAAAAAATTACGGCTTGAATAATAAAATAACGGTCAAAAAATCAATTTTTTGGGGCAAAAAATTCCTACCAAACGGGGCCTTAATCAATAGAAGATAATATTTTATTAGTGTAGATGGAATATTATTAAAAAAGATTAGATTTTATTTATAAGCCAGAAGAATACCAAAAATATTCCAAAGAATCTATTAAAGCCAAGGTCCGATGAGAAAGGCAAATCCTGGTCCTAACGGACTTGAAAGTTAGACGACCAAATCAAGATCAAAGGAAAAGCACCATTTTGTGACTAGACTGTTGAAATTGATTATATTTAATAGCTACTCCCTTTCCTAGACATAATTTAAATATCGAGTCATTTACGTTTCTTTCTTATTCCATTTTACGAAAATAATAGACTTCCCAAAAAAAAAATATAAATAAATAAATTCCGTAAAATTTAAAAATAATAATTAGACACGCCTTAATATACTGGTGGCAATCCCAAAATAGACTTCGTGAAATGGAATCTAATATACTATGTGAAAAATAGTTTGTGACATTCAAGTCAGTTCAGCGTATATTACTCCCAAAATATTATACATACACGTCCAAAAACGTTCTAATTATTTAATTTTAGTAGTTAAATCATTCCAAGAAAATTAATGAATTTATTTATTTAGATTATCTTTAATAAGCTTATTTATATTTAGACTAAATGATTTATTTTTCCCTAAATGTCTTCACTAGATTTTTAATTCAGAATTTATGTCTCAAGTGCTTTGTCAAAATGTTCTATTAAAAATTTATTTTGTTAGAGAAGAAGCATGAATTTTAGTCACTAAACGATTTTCAAATTGTATACATGACCAAATTCAGTTTCTTTTTGACAAATACATTATAGTTTGAACACTTA